TGGCCCAGTTGATTGCCATGTTCCATTCCTTTTGCAGCCAGGATATTGATGTCATTGAGCCCTGCTTTCATCAACTCATTGTTCTGCATAACAAATTTCAAGGGTTTCCTCACTGTTAGTTCAATCGATTGCAACTTCCTTTATGTTGCTTTCAAGTCCTCCACAAGTTGGCTCTTTCATCTACTTGCCCTCTCTAAATCCATAAATCTTCTAATCCAGCCAGGCTATGACCTAACAGTAATGGATACATACCATGGCCAGTTCTAGAACTGATATCACATATAGTCTGACATGCAGCTGGGGCTACAATTCCTGCCCCTGCACTGGGCTGCCTGCCCCTCTGGAGACAAAATTTTCAGTCAATCCTCCACATAGAGACCAGAGGTAAGTTTTCTGGAGGTGAGAGCATTCAACAGTAACAGAAGGACTGAGCCTTCAGGAGTCCTCCCCCAGCCAAGAGAATAAATAAAAAATACTGTCCCTCCCAGAGGGAATGGCCAAGATTACTCGTACTCTTACAAACATAAAGGATACTGGGGTGGTAGTTCCCATCTTATTCTCATGTCATTCAGCAGTTTGGTCCCTACAAAATCAAATATATATTGTGGAGGATGAAGGTAGATTACTGCAAACTCAACCAAGAAGGAATTGCAGTATTAGATGTTGCATCTTTGCTGGGGCAGATTAATGCAGCCTAGGTATGTGGTATGCAGCCACTGATCTGGTAAATGCATTCTTTTTCATCCCTATCAGGAAGAAGAATCAGGAGTAGTTTATATAAATGTGGCATAGACCACAGTACAATTTATGCCTTCATCCAGGGCTATATTAACTCTCTTTTTCTCTGTCATAGTCTGAAGGACCTAGAGCATCTGGACATTCTGTAGAATATCACATAGGTCCACTGTATCCATGTATCAATGAGATCATGTTCATCAGACTGGTTGAACAAGAAATGCTAAGTATATTGGAAGCCTTGATTGAGAACACAAACTCCAGCGTGAAAGTGATGATGAAGTACAAAGTCCTGGCCCCCTTCCATCAACTGGGGACAATCTGAAGGAACATACCAACTCCACTGCTTCTCCTGAAATGAGCTGAAGCTTCTCTTGCAGCTACATCATGGATCAATTTCTCCTCAGTCAAATCCTGCTTCCTTCACTGCTTTACAAGAGTTGTTTCATAGTGCAGTTCCCAATAGGTCTCCTGCATACAAATATCTCACTGAGAGTCTGTTTCATGGGCAACCTGAACCTTAAATAAAGCCTGAGGTAAAGTCTTTAAATAATGAGAGGGAGTTGGTAGGTGATATCAACCAGTGAGGTAGTGGGTAGTAGATTCTGATGACTCAAAGTTCTAAGCTGGTATTTTGTGGGAGGGAGGAAAGAGGAAGAATGGTCTACCATCTACAAAAGACAATGAGAAGCTAGGACAACCTGCAATCCCACTTGCACAGGAGTGTGGGAGAGAAAACAGCCTCCATTTGAGAGGATCAAAGCAGAAGCAGAGGCCTGAGGGGATTACCACCTTTTAATGAGGGCAAGAAGGTGAAGGAAATGTTCAGAGAAGACTAAGGAGAGTTTCTTATAGTGGAACACGAGTTTCAGATTGCTGGTGGAAAGGAAAGGCATGAAGTAGAATCTAAAAGGAAGATGTGCAGAATTGCTTGGGAATTAGAGTGGGTGGGAGGAGAGGCATCCTGGGCTTCTACCAATAATTAAAGTAAACAGAGATGAACATAATGAAATTAGTCTCGGGATTATTAAAGCAGAGCAGGCAGGACAGTCTGTGCCTGTGGATGAAGAGGACAGGTAAGGGCGTTGTTGGAAATGCAGAGTGTCGAGGTCCCATTTCCCTCCACCAGAGTTGATGTGAAGGCTGAATGGAATGGCTTATACATAGCATCAGACCCTCTGAGGCTCTCCCTTCAATCCTTGCACAGGGGAGAGGCAGTCTTTGCCTAAAGTAAAACTTTCAGCACATTTGTGAGATCAGGTGAATTACTTTTATTCTCTTTCTCACAATAGTAACTATGAGACATACACTCCCCCATCATAAAAATTTTTCTTTCCTAATGGCTGATATAGCATTAAATTAAAGATGTTTGGTTATAATAAGAAGCTTCAGAAATTGAAGCTGTCAAGCAAAAGTATCTGTGTTAATCTAAGCTCCATTAAACATACACACAGAAAGAAAAAAAAAATGGTTATCTGTCAAGTGGGAAGAATAAAATCATCCAGAAATGAAAACATGTTCATGTTTATGAGAAGTTGAGGTGAAGAATAGGCAGAAAAAAATAGAGTGAATCTAAAATATAATCCTGGGGATTTTTTCTTTGATAAGAATGTTTAAGTTTGGTATTTGGAGAAATATTTCTTCTGACAACTTCAATAACTACTGAAGAAAGCCTTTCCAATTTGTCCAAAAGATTGATTAAATGCCTATGGAAGAAAGACTCTAATTGTAAGCCCATTTTTGCCCTGAGTAACTTGGTGAAAAAGTCATTGATTTATTGATTCATTCACAAAACAAGTATTTTGCACCTACTACATGCCAGGCACCAAACTTAGTCTTGAAGATAAAGTTATGGAGAAGATGGAGATGATCCTTCCCATCATAGAAGTGAGGTTCGTAGCCGGATACAGACAGAGGCAACAGCAGGATAGTGTGGTAAGTGCTGGTGACGAAAGTACAGGAGTTCTCTGTGAGCACTTCGGAGGGGCCCCACCTTGATTTCAGCAG